GATCCAATCCACTAAGGGCGCATTTTCCGCCATCGTAGGCGATGGATCCACGGTGGTCTGGGGGGGTGCTACTCAGGGTGGTTGCAGTAGAGCCGTGCAGGATCAGCTGAAGGATGTGCAGCAGATCCAAGCCACTCGCAGTGCTTTTGCTGCCATTCTTGGTGATGGTTCTTGTGTGACCTGGGGCGACGCTGGCTCTGGGGGTGACAATAGTGCTGTGCAGCATCAGCTGAGGAATGTGAAGCAGATCCAGGCTGCTGATAACGCTTTTGCTGCCATTCTGGGGGATGGATCGGTCGTGACCTGGGGTAATGCTGCTGATGGTGGGGACAGCAGTGCTGTGCAGCATCAGTTGAAGAATGTGCAGCACGTCCAAGCTTCTGGTGCTGCTTTTGCTGCCCTTCTGTGTGATGGATCCGCCGTGACGTGGGGCCATACTGCGTTTGGCGGTGACAGCAGTGCAGTGCAGTATCAGTTGAAGAACGTGCAGCAGATCCAATCTTCCAGAGCAGCTTTCGCTGCTATACTTGGAGACGGAACTGTTGTGACCTGGGGCGATGCTGAACGTGGTGGCGATAGCAGTAAGGTGCATACTCAGCTGAAGAATGTGCAGCAGATCCAGGTATCCAGCCGGGCTTTTGCTGCTGTTCTTGGTGATGCCTCTGTGGTGAGCTGGGGTGATGCTGCATTTTGTGGAGCGAGCTCAGCTGTGCAGGAACAGCTGCAGAATACGCAGCCGGTGCGCTTCTACTCTTCGGATCATTCACACGCAGTTGGAAGACCCGAAATCGAAAATCCGGACGGGTTTTGATCTGGAAACCACCCACCGGTTACCAGCGCTTAACTGTAGACCCCAAAACACTAAAGCCTGCCACTTGTGAGATGCGCGGGAAGCTGGACATGCCTCTTTAAAACCCAAACTCTATAACCCTAAACCCTAAATCTTAAATCCAGACCCCTCAACCCGAACCCCCAAACGCTAAACCTTAAACCCGATGCCTCAAATCCGAAGCCCTCCACCCGAAACCCGAAACCCCACCCTAAACCTTCAACCCTACGCCTCAAATTCGAGGCCCTCCACCCGAAACCCGAAACCCTAGACCTTAAATCCGAAGCGCTAAACCCTAAACCCTAAATCAGCCGTGTTAAGGCAACCTGGAGAGTTCCTCAGCCTAAGCATACCACTCTGTACCCTGAAGCAAACACTGTTCTAATTAACTATTAGGCTTCAGGTTTTAGGTTCCAGGTTTTAGGTTTTAGGGTTTAGGGTTTACGGCTTAGGGCCGCTTAAACCCTCCCTAAACCCTAAACCCTAAACCCCTAAGCCCTGAACCGTCGACCCTGTAGCTTATTCAACCCTGCTCAGGACATGCCTGCCTCCTTCCTCTTGGTCCCGCGCGCCGGGCGCGAGGGGAAAGTTCGGGAGGTTCCCGTGGACCGACGCTGGGAGGGCACTTTAATTAAATCTCTGGGGTTGAAGGTACCCTAAGGGTCCATGTACCCAAATAATATATACATTGGCCCTAAAGTACCTATATAGAGACTGCATGAAAGCCAAAGTATATACTATTTGGGTACATGGACCCTTAGGGTAGTTGAGGGTTTAGGGTTGTTGGGTTTTGGGGTTGAGGGTTTGTTTCGTTGGAAGCTCGAAGTTCTAGGTCTTACAGGAGTCTATTAGGGTTTCTATCAGGCAGAGGGTGTAGGTTTACGGTTTGTGCTGTGGACCCTAAACCCTAAACCCTTCTGTGGGCTTATGGGTTTAGGGCCTCGACTTTAAGGGTTAGGTCTCAGACTGTGAATTTTGGGTTTTCGGCTTCCCAGATCTTCCAACATCCTTAGGGTTTAGGGTTTAGGGGTCGTGGGTTTGGGGTTTAGGGTACCCTAATTTCGAAAACTGCCATACATCACCAGACCCTAAACCCTAAACCCGAAACCCTAAGCCGTGGAGGCTTTTCAACTAGGCTCGGGTTCCTGGGCTTTCATGGTTCCCAGAGACTCCACAACCGCCCGAAGTAAGGAGCTTCCTTTTGATCCCTCTGCAGTGCGAGGTTTGCTTATTGTTTGGTTTAGGGTTTAGGGTTTAGGGTTTTAGGGTTTAGGTTTTAGGGTTTAGGGTTTAGGACCTGAGCCCTACACCCTAAATCCCTAAACCCGAAACCCTAAACTCTACTACAAAGCCCATAAACCGCGATTAGACATTTGTATTCAGAGAACCCCGTTTGTGAACACCCTGGCTGCGAATATGTCGCAAGTGTTTAAAAAAGTCCTCCAAGAAATATTTAAAAATCCGTTGGGAAATCCTGCTCACGACCTTCTGATGAAAACCAAAGATGGCGACCATTGTCGCCGATTATTTACCGCAGGGCTCGTGGTACAGGACGGCTTGGCCCACAAATACATCTGGGCAATAAAAGGAGATGCAGGCACAAAGTTCTGCTTATTGTGCAAAAACTGTGTGGCGATCGCTGCGGCCGGACACGGACAGCAGGAAGACGAGGAACAGAACGGAGTGTGCAGAATCTCCAAGTATTCCGATTTGGCTTTAGCCACCGATGACGACATCTGGGATAGCATGCAGCGGATGAAGCAGAGATTTGAAACATGTCCCAAAGCCACGTTCGACAAGTGGCAGCAAGCAACGGGTATCACTTTTTCTACAGAGTCAGTTCTATCGCACGAGCCGTTCCGGCGCATTTTTTTGCAGCCTGTTCAGATGTATATGCACGACTGGATGCATGCCTGTTTGAGCAACAGGGCTTGCGGGCGTTTTGGAGTTGGGGGACCATGAGCCATAAATCCTGCGGTATCTTCAAGGAAGCCTTTAAGGTTCCATTTGGGGATCTATAAGGATTTTGGGTTTGGGGCTCCTTAAAGGGGTACTTTAGGGTTTAGGGTTTAGGGTTTGGGGTTTAGGGTTTGGGGTTCCTTTAGCAAACTTAGCCAATGGGAGAACTTCAAACCTTTTGGCCTTACGAAGTGGCTATAGTCTATAGTAGGAAGTTCAAAATTTTTTGGACTCGGTTATTGACGAAGAGAGTTAAGGGGTACTAAAAGGTTCTATAATAGGATCCCCTTTTAGGGGTGCTATGGGGTTCTCTAATAGGGTCCCCGTTAAGGGAGTGCTTAAGGGGCCCGAGCCACTATGCGAGGACCCTAAACCGTGAGCCTTTAGATGAAGCCTTTAAAGGAACCCCTTCAAAGATCCCTCAAAGGAGCCCCTTAAAGGAACCCCCCCCTAGAGATCCCTTAGGGGAGCCTCTACTGGAAGCCTTATTACAGGAATGAGCCCCGATAAATTCTGTAAAGGAACCCCAGCCCGTATAATATCCGTATAGAGCCCTTTCCGAACCCATACATAAAAAGAGCCGTATCCCATGCTTAAAACAATCAATCCGAGGCTTTTTCAACATTTTCCACATGGGCCCGACCTACGAATGCCCCGAGACGAAGCAGCTCATCAGCCACAGCCGCCCGGCAATAGGTACTATATTAGTATTCCTATAGTACCCTAGAATATCCTGTAATGGTAATCTACGGCAAAACCCTATTCTAAACCCTAAACCCTAAACCCGAAACAAACCCTGTTCGAGTGATTTCAGGCTTTGGGTTTAGGGTTGCGGGCTTGGAGTTCGGAGGTTAAGGGTTTAGGGTTGTTGTTTCAATGTTTGGCCACCCTAAGCCCCAAAACCCAAGGCCCATGTAACGTTTTAAGGGTTCTACCTGCTAATCAAGGGGTCCATAGCCTACTTTTTTGTAGGGTTTGCGGCCGCGAGTTAACTCCGGACCCTAGACCCTAAGCCCTACAACTGCAACCCACTTCCAGCAACCTGAACAAGTCCTATACCCTTCTAGTTCTTGGTAGTAGAATCGTTTTTAGGGTTTAGGGTTTAGGTATGTAATTTTGAACCTTCTTGGCGCGTTACAGCTAAGTGTTTATTAAAACAGACCACAGCACACGCTTGACAAAGCCTTATTCAAAAATACTTACATAAAACCCGAAGCCCGAAACCCTGGACTCTAAACCTCAAGCCCTCCAGCCAACCCTAGCACCCTAAACCCTGAACAGTAAACCCTCAACCCTAAACGCTGCCACGACGAAGGCGTGGCCTTCGACCGCTACCTTTTCGGCGGAGAGATGGGCTTCAACGTGCAAGCCCAGGTCTGCCTTCGGTTTCAAGCTTAGTTGGTTAAAGGGTTAGGGGTTAGGGTTTAGGGTTTTCAAGCTTAGTTGTTTAAGGGTTTAGGGGTCAGGGTTTAGGGGTTTTCAAGCTTAGTTGTTTAAGCGTTTAGGGGCTTGAGTTTAGGGTTTAAGGTTTTCAAGTTTAGTTCTTTAAAGGTTTGGGGCTTGCCTAAACCTTGCACCCTAAACCCGATAGGGGTTTGGGTGTAGGGTTTTCAAGCTTGTTTGATGTAGGGTTTCATATAGGAGCCTGGTTATGAAACCCTGGAAATTTTGTTAGGGTTTAGGGTTTAGAGTTTGGGGTACCCTAAACAATAGGGGTTTTGGGTTTAGGGTTGGTTTGGGGTACCCTAAATAATAGGTGCCGTATTATAATAAGGACCCCAAAAAGGGACCATAATTTTGACAACCACCCATGTATTAATAATTGCGAGAACCGAATGAGGAAAAACGGTCTAGGCGACGATGCTCACGTAGGGCTATACCAACCAAGGCGACATATGAGTACGCATCTTGCGGAGTCAGGACTATACCTTACGCACTCGGAAACCTTGTTAGGTCAGTGCTCGCAGGACCGTCTTCGAAGCATCTACTTCCGCAAGGCAGCTTGACAGTGAGATTCGTTGGTCTCGTGCCCAGGGATGTTTACCATGGAGAGTTCTGTCGCATGTTGCCTGAGCTTTCGAAACTAGGGCTTCTAGGCATTCTAGGCTTGGAGTTGCTTGGAACTAGGCTGAACAGATTTGGGAACACTGTGCGCGACGTGTGCAGCATTCGCGATTTGTGAAGTAAATCAGACAGAAGATGGTCATCTAAGGAAGGCAAGACGAAAGCTGAGATTGCCAGGTGCCCATGGGACTGGATTCTCTGTTAGTTGGTTGCTTCGTTTTGTGCAGGATCCACTGCTGAGGCTGAACTGCCGTTCTTTTGTCCGAAGCTCTAGCACCAAAATCGAGCACCTAAATCTTGAGACCCTTGACCATGCCAAGCATAGGCCACTGCTGTGCAATCTTTCAGAATAAAATCTGTTGTCAATCGCTGTCATTGTGCTATGCATAAACCCTAAACCCTAAACCCTAAACAGAGCGGCTATCTTTGCGCAGGCTCCTTGGTCGGTCCGAGCAGTTTGTCGCCAAGTGGTGGCAGAAGGACGAGCGAGAAATTCCCCGACCCTGGGGTGTTCATGAGTCTCGTGGCCGAAACCCAACTCATTGTGTAGCGCGTTTCAGTTTAGGGACTGATGGTACTTACAGGTACTTCGCGTGCTCTGGCGTCCTAAGCCTTAACCCTTCCTGAACCTTGATCGCCCGCTTACATCCGCGATAATCGAACCTCTACCCCGCCGACTCTACTTCGTCGCTGAGTAAGCAACCTGTAACCTTTCGTGGTAGGGTTGTCCGTACTAGATCTTTGAATAGTACCAAGGATGAACCTGTAATTCCTCTGGAAACTGAAGAAGTTAGCCGACCCTCCACCTGGACTTTGCTGAAACTGCTGAAAGGCACAAGAAGGCCTTATTCACAAGCCAGTGTCGGTCCCAAGCTTGGCACCACCAAGCCGTCAGAAACAAAAGCTTCGCGCGTGCATACCAAAGCCCTTACACACTAAATTGTAGGCGCTATAGGCGCTCCAGCCCCGATAATATCTTTCGAGCCGGAAGACATAAGAGCCTCAAGCTATGATGAGCTCAGGTACATGTCCAAAGAGCTCGGCACGAAAACTGCAACGAGCCAAGCCACGCTTTCTGAGATCTTCGGCAAGCATGGGCTTTGTGCACACTCGTGGTGCCAGCACTTCTACTTGAGAGCTTTGGGTAGTGGGGGTAGGGGTGTATAGGCACTACCGGACTGCTGTGCTGTTGTCTCTCTTGACCCTGGAGCTGCTGCTGCTGCTGTATCGGTGTTGTGCATACTAGGCTTGCTGTTCTGGCTGAAACGCCCAACGCTTCTTCCAACGGGTCGTTCAGATCGTCAGAGGCACGTTGCGGGGGTTGAAAACTACAAACCCCAAGCCCGACCCCCTCAAGCCCCAAATGCATGTAACCCCAAAAGCCCAAGTCTTCAACACACCACCGAAACCCTTGCTCTCGGATGGGACCCTGCCTCTGCGTTCTCAAAGGAACTCAGAAGTCTCCACAGCCGCCTGGTGGCGGGACGTCGAGGTTCGACGGAAGTACCACGTGGAGTCTTGGCATCGGAGATTCGGGGTTTAGGGTTTGGGGCTTTAGGGTTTGAGGTTTAGGGTTTAGGGTTTAGGGTTTAGGGGTTTAGGGTTTAGTATTAGGGGTTTAAGGTTGTGCGTACTTAGCCTTGAGCATTTCGCCACGAGTGCGATGTGCTGCGAGGGAAATTGGCCGGGCGAGCTCCAATCAAGCCTGTGTAAAAAAGGGGTTTCGGGTTTAGAGGGTTTCGGATTCGGTGGATAGTTCTGGTCCTAGGGCTTCCTGAAAGCCATCTACCAGACATCCCGGAAAGGCCTCTAAACTTTAGAAAGCCCCACAGGATGCATGTTGGCCCCAGGGCGAGCTCAGAAACGAGAGGTTGCCGAATTCCGCGAGAGCCCAGGATGCCGATGTGTACGACGAGCTCCTGAACAACACGGAGACGAAGCACAATATAGGGGCCTGAATAATCAAGATAGGGTTTGGGGGTATATGATTCTTAAGGCCTCTACATTATGGGTGTAGAGTTCGGGAATGTTGGGCTGGGAGGCTCTAGGTTGCTTGGGATTTCGAGAAGGACGATGGGGTTGCGGATCCAGAAGTCTATGGATTTAGGAGCCTGCGGGAAGCCCCCGCCAAAAGCCTTTGCAACCCTGAACCCGTCCTGCACAAGCCAAAGCCCAACGCTGCAAACACCCCAGAAGACGCCTACCTATTGTCTCCATTGTAGTTCCTTTTTCTGGTTTAACCAATTATATATTAAGGATTTTATAAGGCATTTTCAAACAGGAACTACAATGGAGACTGCAGGTATACTCGTAAAGCCCAGCAAAGTCCAGAACTTGTGCGCTTGCAGGAGTGGAAGTCGTCCGCTGCTCGGACCAGAGACTTCTCCACTGGAGCCTCCCATGTCAAGTACGACAAGGAAACCCTAAACCCTAAACCTCGGACTGTGGGATTTGGGGATCTTGAGGCCTGTGACGGTCTGGGCATGTCGGATTTCGGTTCCTCTTGTGGCTAGAAGGCTTCAAAACCTGACTGAGTTGAAGGGCTGCACCAGAAGGAGCCTGAATGGCCAGCAGTTTGATTTATGGCTTCAATTCATCATAGTCTCACCCCATGAAGGAATCCTGGCCTAGTTGCTTTGGCATTCTTCGTCCGGTACTGGCTCGAGGAATTAAGCTGTTGGGCGGTCCCTTCCGGCCAGTGTCACACACATGTGGCTCCCTAAACCCTAAACCCTAAACCCTAAACCCTAAACGATGCTAGAATTGAAAACCCCAATCCTTGAGCCCTCTGGGACTTGAGAGTTGCTTCCTGCTGTCCTTGGCCCCACAAGTGGAAGCCTTTCCAGGCAATTCGAGTGAATCAGGGTTTAGGGTTTAGGGTTTAGGACCTCTACCCCCGGATTCAGAGAGCAACAGCGCAAGAAGCCAAGCTGCGCAAGATGCGCCGGCCCATGCATTTGCAAGCCGTTGGTAGGAGGGGAAGATGAAGTTGCAGGGGAACCAGAGTGCCAAGTACACCAAAGGCTGGATACGAGGGCTTCAGGGATGGTGATGTTGAGTTGAAGGTTCGGCATTTTTGGTGCTGCAAGAGGGTAGCAAGTCGAAGCCTCCACCCCTCAGAGAAGTTTCGGAGTGATGCCGTTCGCAGTTGAGCATTTAGAGCTAGCTGGACTTGTCGTTCAGCTTTGGGAGATTGCACACTTTGAAGCCTTCGGCCCACAACCCAGCCAAAACGTCGGCTAGAGAGCAGGATCTAGCATGTTTTGGAGCCCGAAACTGCTCTGCCTGTCTTTCAGACCAGAGAGAAGTAGAGGACGTCGCAAACGTTCGCACGAACTGAGACTTGCTCAAAGCCCTCACCCTGAAGCCCTACAGCCCCAACCCCCGAGTCCTATCGCCACGTGTGCGCATGACCTCTCAGGATCATCCCCGGCTTTTGACAAGATGCTTCAGAAGTTCTTCTCGGAGCAGACCTGCCTTGTCATGCAGGGATTGAGGGGGTCGAAGGGTTTCAGGCTTTCGCGGCACCGGGCTTCAGGGTTTATAGGGCAGTTTGATAGTTGCTTAGGGTTCGGGTTCCGAGCGCGGTCATGTTCCAGGTTTCTTCGTTTGCTTCTTACTTCCTTAACTTGCTCTTCTCGCAATGAAGCGCTGGCACACTGAGCAGGCGTTGCACTTCACTGGATCTCCCGAGTGTGAATGTTGCTGTACTGCGCACCAGCATGGCGTTGATTACCTGTCATGCATCAAATGAATCAGTCATGTTGGAGAGAGGAGGGCAGCGTGAGAGAGAGAGAGAGAGCACGGGAGGTTGCAAGGGAGCGAGGGGGTGAGGTTTAGGGTTCTTGGATGGGGTGTAGGTGTTTGGAGTTCGGGCATTCAGGTTTTTTCTTTCTGGCCCCTAGGGCTTGTTTGGGTTTGCACGACAAACCGGGGTTGAAAGCCTGGAGATGTCCGCCCAACCCTGAATCCAGAGTGAGCTCTATTTCTAGTGGCTTGGCAAGAGCAAGCTAGTAGGCAAGAAAAGTGCAACGCAAACTGCAAGATGTCAAGGTATGGCCTGGCAGAGCGGACATCCGGCATAGGACTGAACTGGTACCCAGAAACTTGGTTGCAGGGAGCTGTGCGAAGCTAAGAAGAGGCAGCATCGACACGAGGTTATTGCAGTTGTTGGCATTGCAGCATTGCAATCCGCAAGCCCTAAACCATCCGCTATAGAAGGCGTAGTCGAAGCGTAGCTCTGAGCTGACCTGATGGGCCACAAGCGCCTGCCTTCGAACCTGGACAAGCTCGCCTGCATAATTCGAGTCACGAGAGTCCAAACCATGCATTCTCGCGACAAACTCAACCTGGACCTGAACGACATCGACATCAGCTGTATCATTCCTGGCCAGATCCATGCGGAGCCTGCTAGGAGTTGCTCGTCTAGTCAACATAGCCTGTACTACATCATGGCGGGACACACATTCAAAGGCGCCGGTGCTCGAATAGGTTCTCGACACAGACTCTCGCAGATCCATTTCTCCCTCCCTCGACTCGACATATCGGCACGAGGATGGCGATGCGGTGCTCGGAAGTCACCGCTCCCCGGGCTTTCAATGGTGGATGTCGGGGGTTGTAAACCCTTGTAGGGCTTGGAGTGTAGAGGTTCAGGGGCTTCGGGTGTAGGATTAAAACTGTAAAACGCTACTTGAGGATGCAGGGTTTTGGGAGGTTTGGGTTTCGAGTTTGAACGGGGTTTAGCCCCATAGTCTCGCGGAAACGAAGATGTCAGGTTTGCCTTCGCACCTCCTGCAAGTGGAGATACTGCCCTATTTAGCTGTACGCGTGAAGATGCTGCGGTCGTCACAACATCCTGAGGCCACGATTGTTGGACTGCTCTGTTCTCATTCGGCGACGAACGCATTCTGACGACACCCGGCCAGATTCGGGGCTTTACGTCTCTAAGATGGGCCCAAAGATGGTCACAGAGCCCGAATCTAACCTACCCCCCCAAGGTACCTACTATATAGGGCCTTAGGGGCTCTGGTACCCTATATAGTAGGTACCTGGGGGGTTAGGGTAATCTCTGAAGGTCCATGCACTCGCAAGGCCTCAGCCTCGCTTGCTGCATGGCACTTCTAGTACCGCCAGGGAGCCTCAGAAAACGGAGATCTGCAAAAAGATCCGTTTTGTCCAGGATCGACAAGACGCCTCTGCTCCTTCAAGACTGCGACTCGGAGACATTCCGGACATGCTCGGATCGCAACTTCCGAAACAGCCTCCCAGTCTAGAAATGTAACACCTCAAGCCCCACACATCGAATCCAAAGTTTGTCCCTTCAAGCCGAAATCCCAAGTACCTGTACCCAGGCGACCTCGTAATCTTTGGCACGCAGCGGCATGGCGTCCCGAAGATGCCAGAGATCAAGGCTTCGTTCTTCGGTTTAGAGATATGATTCATGTCCTCCGGTTCAAGGTTCAAGGCTTGCTTTCTGAATTGCGTGGAAGGCTGAACATCGTCATTCTGCAGGGTTTACAACGGCTCAGAGTCACTTTTCGCCGCAAGGGCGGACGCATCACGGTGCCGATTTTCTTCTACCCCACCCACATGCAGATGAAGAAGCAACTGGGCTTGCTACCGTACAGTGCCGCAGTTCAGAATTGTGAGACCAAGTTTGCTGCGTCGACACCTGCAAACCTCCCAGGCAGTGGCAGACTCTGACCGATCCCGAGGATCCCCGTCGCTCTAATGAGCTTGCGAAGCTGTGGCTTGGATACTGCAATAGGGTTTCGGAGGTGTTTTGGGTGTGATTCTGCTTGTTTGCGCTCTGTGTTTTGCAGGATGCCTTATTCGCAGGTTCACTCATAATGATCTCTAGCGGTGCTCGTCCGGGCCATCAACGCCAATGCAGTCCAAGACGCCTGAATTCCGAACTGAAGGAACAGAAGCCCTCAGCTTACAAGAGTAGGACACAGTCGGAAGAGCTACTAGGCTAAGGTGCACTACCCAAAGCAAGCAAGGAGCATTAGCCTCAAAAGCAGCAGTAGGCTCGTGCTTCGCTTACATTCTACAACGCCTGAAGCTGACGATCAGAACATCGGCACATGTGGCTTCTGTGGAGCCATGAACATAAGGCAGTCCACGCACCAGCTCGGCAGCGATGTGGTGGGGCAGTCGTTGTGGAGTTTCTTGCCGAATCATGTGATTATGCGGATCGAGAGTCTTGGGGCATTAAGCTTCAACTCATTGTATGCAGCTGTCGGCGTTCGGGCAGGTCATCTACTGGGCTCGAAATGTCTCCGAGCCGTTCACCACCAGACCTCTAGTAGCCCTGATGTTTAGCACAATCTGAATTGACACATCCCGATGCCCGGCATTCGTTCAGCCTGCACAGCTCTCGGCCACTTGCCCCCTTGAGCTTGGGGATGCGGTGTTACTGCACACGTGGATTTGGATAGTCTGTTTCGAGCTCACGAGGCTTCGTTTGACGGTGCAACCGCATGAATTGTTCGTTTTTGCTGGGAGTGCATCCGATACGCACCAGATGTGTTTTCGGAAGCATTCCCAAGAACATTGCAAATGAGGTGATCCTCAGCGCAGCTTGGCTTTGGAGCAGCTTTTACAGCGACTTGGCGCAGCTGGACCAGTTTTGACGTGGGTCTAAGTGTTACAGAAGTCCAAGTGTCTGCACACGTAGATGCTGCGTCCGACAAGCCCAATCTCGTGAGGCTCATGCGCCAAGCGCCCACTCTTTCAGTCCCGACCCAGTTTTGTTTCTCCACAGCGCTTCCAGAGTGCTCCCTCCCTTCATGACGGGAGCAAGGTGCCAGCACGAGGGGTGAATGCAGTTCCCCTTTACAAGACCACGATGCTTGAATATTCAACGGAACTCATCTACCCTCTAAAATTTTAGCCGAAGACTGCTTCGCCGTCGCGGGGATATACAGGCCTGGACAAAAAAGCAATAGCATCCCCCTTGTAGTCTCCATATACAGTACTTGTGCTATATATATATATATATTATATATACACACACATAAGATATGTATATATGTGTACACATACGTATACGCATAAATACATATAACTTAAACCAATTGTATATATATATATATACACATATGTATGCTTAGTTATGTTTATATTTGTAAACAAACACCCGAACCCCAGCCCATATTCTTCCGGCCCCTGTGTCGAAGCGCATCGTAGGCTCGGCTTCGATCTCGACGCATCGCGCCATGCGCTGCAGGCACCGGGCGGGTTCTGTGGGAGCCTCACTTGCTTGGTGGGTTCAGGTTATTCCGAGTATTGGGTTTCGGATTTAGGATTGTACCTGATTCTGCAGCACGCCTTCAGGTTATGGCTGCAGGCTCTGACGATGTATCCTGGAGTTTGCTTGCTTCTTTGGTTCCCGCTTGGGCAACTGGCGAGGGAGAGCACGGCAAGCGAATCTAATCTCTAGACTCAGTGCAAATTTTGAATTCCACACACTGCATCGGGCCGCAGACCAAAGCCCAAATCAAGCGGAGCCGTTAAGTTCAGCAGGTGATGCGATGCTTGCGGGTTGGACTTTGGAGCGCCGAAGTGGGTTTCGGTTCAGGGTTTAGGGTTCATGTGCAGTTCCGGGCGAGAGAAGCCTGCTGCAAAAGGTTTCATGTGCAGGGCTCAGGATAAAGGTTGTCTTCATACTAGGCCTTTGTCATAGCAAATGCGTAGTACCAGCCTACACACAGCAGCAGCCCGCATGATTGTTTGCAGGCTCGGCTAGTGTGTCATGTCGCCAGCAGTTTTGGATTGAGCTGAACCGAAGCCATTTCGGCCTATGCCACGCGAGAGGGCAGGATCAGGGACGTGGGGCATTGCTGCATCGACATATCCTGCTGGATGCGTTAGCTGCATGCATGTGTAGTTATTTCGGAAGCGCCACGCAGAGTTCGCTGGGTATGACTTGCTATGAACGGACACCCTAGCAGAGGAACACCCAATAGAGCATGGCTCATGGTGGATCGATGCAGACCTGCAATGAGCTGCACCACTTGCAAGGTTCCAGTGCGTCGTCTTTCGTCGCCTTACAATCGACCCCCTTGAAGCCGCCAGGGGAACCTATGCCTCGCCATGCATACGCCGTGGGTTTAGTCGCTGGGGAAAACACACCACCAATGCTGAGAGCACTGAGCGTGAATCCGGGCAAGCAGTTCTTGCTGCTGACAGCGACCGATGAGGACAGCAGGCCTTCCGTTTCTGCTCCGGCAGAGCCCATGTGGGCTGTGGCAAACATCAGCGTGGCATCGGCCGGGCAGTTGCACAGAGCTAGAGGCGACGTGGTTGTGCCGTACCAGGGTCCTAACATTCAAGACGACTTCATACACCGAATCTTCTTCAGAGTCTATGAGCAGCCTTCTAGGATTCCTCCTCAAAACTTGGGCAACTTTGGTCAGCTCCACTCATGGATGAGTCGGAATGGTCTCGTCGGACAGGCCGCCCGAACTGGCGGAAAAATGTCAGAGCTGCTTCTGACTGCGGTTCGGAAGCGTCCGATGGGAGTCGCCAGCGCTTCGACGCCTGGCTTCATGGCGACTATCCCAGACCCAGCCCAAAACTCTTCCCGGCGATGCAAAGCACAGCGCCAGAAGAGATGGCAGGAATTTGTCTTCATCGGCGTCTGAGCGCAAGAGGGCGATTAGTGACATGCACGTCGGTGGACCAAAGACAGTGCACTCAAAAAGCTCAAACTCCGCGCCAGCAACCGGCAGCTTCAGTGCCGGCAGTTCCGACACCTGACCATGAACCACGGAAGGTATACTCCAGAGCCTCAGACAGCTAGGTTTTGTCTACCCAGAAGCTAAGTCAGGGTGTTTGGGTTGGGAGGACAAATTTAAGGGCAAAAGCCGAAGATGATGAACATGTATTCTGATCTTCAGGGAGGTACGGTTTCTGAAGCCATCTGGCACCAGACGACACCATCTGCATTGAAGGAGTTGAAGTGCATGGGGGCGAAATTAAACACTAAAGGTATCAGAGCAACCGACCGGAACCAGCACGGCAACAGCTGTGCGTACCAACTTGGTGAGGGGCGGCGACATGAGGTCAGGAGGGTGCATACTAGAAATAAACTTTCCACATTCGGCAGAGTCATCTTCCTCGCCACTTGCATCTTCACCTTCATGCAGAGTCTAGATCATTAGGCCGCTGTCGAGGAGTCGAAGCTCTTGCAGATTCCTATCCTCACTCAAACTCCCACGCATCTGACCTTACGATGAGGTTTCGGGCGTTGGCTGGTTTCAATGCTGTCCGCCCTATATAAGCCCCAGCACCCAGTCAAGCCCTAAAGCCTCAAAGTTTCTTTGCCGTCTGTTTGAGTTCTGGAATGCGTGCCTGAGTGCGACAGTAGGAGAGAGCACAACCACGCTGCTCCCGAACCCAGTTGTACAACCTCAATACCCTCAAGAACCAAGGAAGTGCTACAGCACCCACAGCCGTAGTGCCGTAGTGTAGATACTAACCTAATTCTACTGTTGAAACCCTAAGAGTTGAAGGCTTCCGCCTTCGACCCGGAGCAGGCTACCGGTTGTGTGAGCATTCCTCCGAGGTCGTCGGGTCTTCGTAATGCAGAGCCTGTGGGTTTTTGGGTTTAAGGGCTCTGTAGCAGGAGTATTTCAGAATTACGCTAGCTGGGTTCTTCCGTGCTTAAGACTCTGTTAATGCGTGTGCACATATGTATGTATATATATATATATACATACATGCATGCAGATGTACATGCTTCTATTTTTTACGGACAGATCAGTGTGTAAGTGTGGGGCCCTGGCCCATGCATGCTCAGTAAATACACGAGGTTGAAATGTAGTGTTGCTTAGGCGCTGCGTGGGCCCAATTCAAGCGGACAGAAGCAACTTTACGCAAGGTTCCTTCTCGATGTCTTGAACCTCAGAACCTCTCAAAGCTCACCAGACCTGAGGCAGTGGCATTGGATGTGACTTACACCCTTGCGGGCAGTAAATGTCTAAACCCGCAGGATTAAGAAACCCCGATGGAAAGCCCCACTGCAGCAGCCGATCTCACCATGCTAAGGAAGTTCGATTTGTCCTTTGTGCTTCATTGCGTGAGGTCACAGCCCTAGCAAGCCCTAAACCTGAACTCCACCAGCTCAAGCCCCCTTTGGCCCTTCACTCGAAACCCGAAAGTCGATATCCAAGCCGCCCAAAGCCTTATCAGAGGCTGCCGAGCTTCTCCTTCTCTCGGGAGCAGCGGACCTTGATCTGGATCAGATCTCCGGAAGGACCCAGGCCATGGGTGGCAATTTCGGGGTAGAGCACAGAGTTGAAGCATAGCAGCTAGATCGGCCACAAAGATTCCACCAGTAAGCAAGCACAGTCCCCGAATGTCGGCCCTGAGCTTCGGTGCTTCAATAATTCGTGGCCTGGGCCAACTGCCGGCTGACAGTTCCCAGGCGTGTTGCTTTAAGTTTGTAGCTGCGCCCGAAAATAGAATAGTAGTCTGTGACATCCTAGTCAGGGTATAGCATAGTAACACAGTCGTCCTCACAAGCATTCTATGAGAGAGACATGTCAGGGGCATGCGCCTCGAACCTTTATCCCGAGTCTTTACAGCCGCTGTTTGACAGGAATCTCGTGACATGTTTGGCTCGAAAGACGCCATTGTTGTGGGTTTCTGTTGCGGCGACGGCATTCGAAACCTCGGTTTGACACTTCTAACCCTAACCCCCCAGGTACCTGCTATATAGGGTACTAGAGCCCCTAGGGCCCTATATAGTAGGTACCTGGAGGGTTAGGGTAAGTTCGAAAGGTTTCCTCGTTCCAAATTTCGCAGGCGGATCTCCAGAATGAAGAGGAGGAGGCCCGCCGCTGGGTTAGGGACTGTGGTGACTTCATCTACGGTCACGCAGCGCACATTTAGTGCACTTTTGATTTGTTTGTGCTGAATCGGCATTTATGCCTGAGTATGAACCGCCTTATCGTGACAACGGGCTCTCGTCAGACGCATTGCAGCAGAAGATCTGCAAAAGGAACCATGTCTCGAAAGCCTTGTCTGCGAGAGCCAGGTGAGAGTTTGCCTGCTTCAGGCGTTGCACTGTAAGCCGCAAGCACTTGACGAAAGTGAGCGATCTCGAGAGAGAGAGAGAGAGAGAGAGAGAGAGAGAGTTGAAAGGCCAAGCGTGCAATTAAAATGCCCGAGATGTGCCTGAATCCTATTAAATCCGGGCCTCTAGTCCGCCCCCACGCCGTGACGCTGTAAGGTCTGAACCCAAACACGCTATGCTGATCTACTTGTACGATGATATGCATCGAAACCCTCTAGTCTAGTCTAATCATGAGGGGCCTTACTGAGATGAACCTTAAAATCCTAAAAGGAACCCTCCTCAAGTTATTAGTCGAAGGTTAGAAGTACGGGCCCCTATTTTGGACCCTCGGGCCTTTCGGGGGACCCTTAAGGGTTCATAGACGGTATACAGTAGGTGTGTAAGGATCCCCCAGGGTTGAGGGCCCATACTAGGGGCCCATGGTTTCAACCTCCCTAAACCCTAGACCCTAAACCCTTAGACCGTAAACCCT